AGGCCGCAGATGGGACAGAAGCGCAGCCAGGACAGACCACCCGAAGAAACGGCCCAAGTTAAGACGACTGGAGGTCTCGGATGCGAATGTCTAGAAAAACTAAAGTACAAACTTAAAACGGGCACGCGAAGGAGGACAACATGGATCAGCAGTAAGTACAACAGTCGGTTGGCAGCAAGTGCAGAAGTGTGCGTCTCGTCACTGGAAACTTTCGAATGCCATCTTGATGGATCTGAGAAGTTTGTGGAACTAAGGTCCACTTAAATTCTTTAAAATTAAGTTCGATTCCTGCATCGTTTGGTAGTCATCGCACATTACGATAGATGCCTCCAGTTTATTCCAGGCGAGGTTGATATTTTTAGTTTACATTTTGAAAGACGGTAAGATGTGGAGTCCATGGAGTCACCGATTGGACGTCTTGTAACTCCGGTGGTTAATCTGCTGTACATCACAAGGAGGACCCTCGAGGGTTGCATAATATATCAAGTCAGCTTACATTCTGACTGCAAACACGAACTTACCTACTGCACAACGGAAGAGTTGTCAGCAGACAGACAAACGATGCCTTTTATTGATTCGTCGAAGCAAGTAAAGGATAGGAGGTGTGAATATATGCACACCACTGCAGTTTGGCGTACGATGCCCTCTAATACGGAAAGGATAGTGAAGGAGGTTTTTCGAGTGAGACGTTGGCAGTTTTAGCAAAAGTTCTTTGGACATTTCCTTTCCGGATCAGGTCTGTCCCAAAAATGGGCGTACAGTATTTTCTTTATGCTATCGCGTAGTTTCATACTGGCTACTTCTTACGTCCAACGGGATTCAACTCAAACTGCTTCATACATATGATGTAAATATGATTTCCTGGCTCGCTATATAATTTAAACCATATCCTCTGTTCGTTTAACAGGCTCCACCCCCCTAAAACCATCTAGTTTTTACCATCGACTCCCGTATAAGAGATGGTCTTGCGTCAGAGTGCTGCGAGGGGCGGGTGTATAAACTCGTATCCGACCGGTTATTTCCCGTTGTGTATAAGTCACCCATCCAACAAATGCTAAGGCGTATTAACCGTTTTACTTTTTTTTGTCTAGGACAGGAGAACTGAAAGTGCAGTCCGATGTAGGGATGTCTAAAAGGCCTTTGAGGATTATCCCTACTTGACTCAAACAGAACACTGTGGTGAGATTGATTAGGCTGTAGTGGTCCTTTCCGCCCGACGCCCACCTAACTCTTGACGTCACAGACAGGGTCACTCAGAGCAGGCCCTTGCGCTAATGTACTTTTCGGCCTACCTCCGACCAGACGCAAACTGGTGCATGAGACACTCACCACTCACGCCAGTGTCTACCTTCGTGCGGTCCAACTTATCACAATCGAGGCTGCGAGACAGAGAGAGGATGCGGCTGCCGCCCCCGATCACCGATGCCAGAACTCACTTGGCATTCTGCCTCCGCGCGGGGCGGACGCCACGCCGCTGTTCTCTCACAT